ACATTTTGCATGCAATAATAGAATGCTACTCAGTTAACTCAAATAAAAGAGGCTAGGCAGGAGTTATCATAAGGAGACATATCCAGAAAATTTAGGGAAAAGCTGGACATCTAGGCTGCAGGAAGGGCAAGAACTGAGACAGGGTCCCCAGCAGTGGGAGGTCACCGACTCCAGTGCTCCACTAAACAAACTCAGACTGCTGCGAGAAAGCCCCACTGGCTCATCCCAGTCTGTGGTTTTATTCCCTTGGGTCAGTTGTCCATCCTTGGTCCATTCTACCACTGAGGAGAAGAAAACCAACAGGGTTGTATGATACCTTAGGCTGCCCCTTCCAACAGTTGTGGGCAGAAACAGATAGTCAAGAATGTAACTTGTGGTGTACTCCAACCCTTCATTCTTTTTTTTTTTTTTTTTTAAAGATTTTATTTATTTTATTTTTTCCCCCCAAAGCCCCAGTAGATAGTTGTATGTCATAGCCGCACATCCTTCCAGTTGCTGTATGTGGGACTCGGCCTCAGGATGGACGGAGAAGCGGTGCCTCGATGCGCACCCGGGATCCGAACCCAGGCCACCAGCATCGCAGCGCGCGCACTTAACCACCAAGCCACAGGGCCGGCCCCAACCCTTCATTCTTGAGGAGTCTGAGGTCTTGATGGTCCTGCCTGTGTGGGACTGTGATAACCTACATTTACCACTGGCTGTGATAAGGGGGTACCCCAGTGAGTTACTCAGATTCCACCCATACTCCTTCTAGTTCCTATTTGTAGTTCTGAGAGTCACTCCAACCAACAGCATGACCCCCTTTGCCCCCAAGAAGGAGCCTGGAATGACTTGGAATGGTTATCTCAGTTTCCACTTCTGTGGAACTACGATTGCATCCCTTGGTGGATGTGTTCTTCCCTTGGACGTCAAATTCTTCCTATTAATAGGACTCAAAGTTGCAGGGATACGATAGCAATTTTTTTTTTTTTTAATCGACAGGAGGCTCCTTTTTGAAATGTTTTGCCTGGCAATCAAAATTTAAATTTTTGTCACTATAACCAACACTTAACAAATGTGAAAATAAAGCTAAGAAGTCATGTGGATGATTGAAATCCCAAAACGTTATTTCAATCATTAGTTTTCAACTTTTCCCACTGAAACTAGAGTTGTTAATAAGTAAAAACTGTCTCAAAGAACCTTCTAGTCGAAAAGATGTTAAAGATTTTTCAATAAAAAGAACCTCTTTTGTTAAATCTCTGATTAACACCTACCCTCTGCCTATTTCCAAAAATGATGGTTCGTATTTTCCTAGGACAGACTTTTCCATAGATGGACAGCTCTAGTAGCTAAAAGAGTTGAAATACTTCTCTGTAACTTCAATTTTCTGGTCCTAGTTTATCTTAATTTGCAGGATTCTAGACTAAGTCAGTGCCTCAGTCCTTTTATAGTTAAGGTCAGCTTTCTAATCTCAATTTAATCTTTTTATGTCCATGCTAAACACCACCAATTCTTTCACCTATTTTAAAATTTTTTCCCAGACTCTTTATCATCTTTTTCATTTTCTCACATATATACTTTAAGATGTGGTATCTCAAATTAAAAACACTATTTCAGATTTGCTCTACCTGTGCTAAGAGTCAGTAATAGAAACCCATTAATCTTTTAATAAGATAGTCTTAGCCCTGTTAGCAGTCCCAACAAACTTGGATTATATCACGCTAGTATTTAACTAAAACTGTCAGATTTTTTTCCACATAAATTATTGATCATTCTAATCTCATGCAATTGATTTTCAAAACTGAAATATAGGCTACTTGTGATCATTAAGCCTCAGGGTATTGGTTTTGATCCAATATTCCAACCAATTCATATTCTTTTAAATTGTTTTTGTTGTTGTTTGTTGTGTTAGCTATTCTTCCCAGTTTTTCCTTTCCTGGCCTTCTCTTTAAGAACTGTAGACATTCAAAGAAGGTGCACAAAGAGACAGGATGTCACCTTGGAAAGGCCAGTGGACAGCTCCAGTAACCTCGTGAATTTACCATAGTCCATGATCTGGCCCTCTTCTTGTGGAGACATGGAGATGGGATCTAAGGAATACTGGCATTAAACAAGGCTCCATAAACTCAACTATTGATTTATTAAGAATTATGACTTCCGGGCCAGCCCCGTGGCTTAGTGGTTAAGTGTGTGTGCTCTGCTGCTGGCGGCCTGCGTTCGGATCCCGGGCGCGCACTGACGCACGGCTTCTCCGGCCATGCTGAGGCCGCGTCCCACATACAGCAACTAGAAGGATGTGCAACTATGACATACAACTATATACTGGGGCTTTGGGGTGAAAAAAAAGGAGGAGGATTGGCAATAGATGTTAGCTCAGAGCCAGTCTTCCTCAGCAAAAAGAGGAGGATT